CAGTTTATGTATATTTTGTTCCCCTGTCAGGGCTCACCAACAATGTATAATGTGCCCATTAGGTGAGAGGACGCCACCCTCTCTCCCTCCTCTTCTCCCTCTTGCACCAAATTTCAATTAGGCTTTAATATAGCAGAGGTTTTGATATTTGAAGACTATAACTTAGTTAATTTTTTTTAAAAAAAACTTATTTGATATTTTGGGCTTTAGAAAACTTTTTTCTGTAAATTTCTCTGTAATTCTAACTGTAAGGATATTCTTCTAATCTGGCTTTTGTAGCTGATATGACTCAATATCATGAAGACTAAAGTGATTGTATTGCTGCAAGCTGTGTCTTTTTCATGCAAATAATATTCTCTGCGCTAGGGCTAATTTGATATGTCACAGGTGCAGAGAGCATAGATTACATCGCAGCACAAAGACATAGATATCTGAAACCCCTTTAGAGTTTTACAAGCCATTTTCAAAGCTTGTAAAACTCGTTGGGATGTTAACAAGGAAACTGAGACTGCAGGACATGAGAATCAGATACAATAAGATTGGAAAACACCTTGCCATTCTGACCTTTAGTCATGTATTACCAACCTCGGACCAGTTCTTAATACGTTTGAACCTTAGTTTTCTTGTTTTTAAATAGAGATAATAATAACATCTACCTCAGAGGATTGTTTACAGGGCTAAATAAAATGACAAATGGAAAAAATGGCATGTAGCCACTTACAAATAGCTACTATTATTATTTGGTTCTGTTACATGGATTGAGCCTCAGCTTTGAATATTTAATTGTGAATAAGAAGGCAGAGGACCTAGTTATCTTTTAAGCTTGTCACCAGGGACAAATGTACGCCCAGAGTAGCTTTACTCATATTCAAGCTTGCCAATGGATGTAAATAATCATCCTTATCATCTTCAAAAGCACCAACTGATCCTAATTAAGCAAAAAGTCTCCAGAGAATGCTGAATCACCGCATTCAGCACTCACAGCACTGAATTCATCCAATTACATCCTGAGTGTTGGTCATTTATATTTTTGATCATACAACAACAAAGTGGCCAAGTCCCTGTCTTGGTCTTATTTTCCACTAGAATACCAGGCTTGGCCTATACTAGTGTTTTTTAACCTTTTTTATTTCACTGCACACCTGACCCTAAAGCTAAACTTCCATGGAAAACTTAAATTATATTGATAAAAAAGGAATTAGTAAAGAATATACCTACTGTGCTTTGAACTTCTTTCAAAAATAATTTAATTAATGAACTTTAAAAATTTTCATGGTACACAAGTTAAAAATCACTGTTACAAATGGTGATTAGATTTATACTTCATTCCCAAAGCCTATTTATTTCTGAATATATGGGAAATACTATTTTCAGTGTACCATCATTTATGTTCACATGCCCATGGAAAAATGCATTCTCACTCTTGGAGGTTCATCTCATCAATATCACCAAAATTAACCTATATAACCTATTGTGTGAGATGCCAGTAACTTTATACAATTGTGGGAGGGGTGTGATCCAGATGCTTTTGCTGCACAATGGCTTATTACACAATACGGCAAGAAAAGCCTGGAGTTATGCAGCAGGACTGACTGGTTAATTCCATGAGTCAAGCCTCAGCAGCTCCTCAATGACTCAGGGGAGTGAGCACTAGCTATGGGCTTTCTCATTCTCAGAGCTTTAGTGAAGGTGCCAAGATGGCTGTAGCATTGACCCCTATTGCCATGCAGCCAATAATGCCCAGAGAGGAAGAGGAGACTTTATGCCATCTCTAGAAGGAGGGTAGAATTTTTTCTGGAAGTACTATTCCCCACGTTCTCACTATGGCAATTTCTCATTGGTCCAGAATATATCACGTGGTCATGCCTAAACCAATCGCTGAAAGAGGAAGGGGATTGGCGTGATTGGTTTAGGGTAGTACATCTCAGCACCACCTGTACACTGGGGTCACTTGGAAGCTTTGGAAACAAAATTTCAATGCCTGGTAACAATGTATTTGTGTGTGTGTGTGTGTGTGTGTAGTTTTTGGCCGGGGCTGGGTTTGAACCCGCCACCTCTGGCATATGGGGACAGTGCCCTACTCCTTTGAGCCACAGGCACCACCCAACAATGTATTTTTAAAAGTTTCCCATCTGTTCTGAATGAGTGCTCAGAAGTGAGTCCTACTATATTAGCCTAGTCAAGTTTCACGCCACCCTGAGTCCGCGTGGGAGGCCTACTCTGAAAGGGTGGGAGGGCACACAGCAGAACAAAATTGGAGCTTTGCCAGCAGGGAACAGAAAACACAACTAACTGGACCTGCCATGTGTACACACCCGCGCTTTGCTACAGTTGAGAGAAGGGATTCCTCGAGGTCAATAACCCTCTGGGTGACCTATAATGAGAAATAAAACATACTTATAAGAGACTTGATACAAAGTGAAACTGTCTCAGAAAAAAAAAAGCTATTTTAACCTGTTGGTCCCCTGAGAAAACTGGAAAATGAAGACATTTATGTAATAAACTGCATTTCCAGAGCACCTTCCTCTCTGGAGCTTTTTCAGGCACTGACCCTCCTGGTGGGAGAAGCACTGTGTCTTCTCTATTCCCTATCAGCTCTGTCAGAGTATGCGTAAGGCTTGAACTGTGCTTGCATGCTACTCTGCCAGGGTGATGTATGGAACAGGCAATCTTCCAGTTACAAACAACCGACTGGCACATGACACACATGTAGGAACGGAGATTATTACAGGTCATAGGTAAATGTACCTGTTCCAATTTACATACAAATTCAACTTAAGAACAATCCTACAGAACCTATCTCGTAACCCAGAGACTTCCTGTATTCTACTTTGTGTGTCTAGCACCGGGCACACAAGAGGCCCAACAAATATTTGTTCAACGAATGAAAGGGGGACAAGAAGAAATGCCTAATATTGATTGTAAACATTTACCCAGTACTTATATGCCAGGCACGGAACAAAACCATGTACACTGAACAGACTTATTTACTCTCAAAACAACCTTGTGAAATAGGAGCTGCTGTTACCTTCACTTTAAACATAAATAAAGTGTGCAATAGAGACTAACTACTTGTCCAAGGTCACAAGCTACGGAGTGATAAGCGTGGGGATGGGTGCAGAGCCCTTTATGCTCCAGAGGAAAAAGCATGCTCCACCTGTATTAAAGATGGCGCCCTCTTTGGTGAATCCCTCGATGGAGGAGCGCTGGAGGAGCGCTGCAGGGGGTGCTGGCCACTGGTGGGCTTTGTAGCTTTTTGTTTCCTGAAAACTTTTGCATTCTTGGGCTTTTTAGGGGGACAGGGAAAGAGGCATTGTTGAATGACACAGGAGGGGTGGAAGTGAGGAGAAACAAAAGTATCTAAAATCCTCTTCCCAAAAGGTCACAGCCTGGAGCTGAACTTTCCATTCAAGGGCAAGAAAAATCAAAAAGCTGCTGCTTCAGTTATGCATTACATATGCCATTTAATTTACCTGTGCTTCAGAGCTGTCTCTGACATTTATGGGGAACACCACCATCTACTGTTCTGCTCATCTCTGATAAACCCCAATCTGAAGAGGAATAATGGTTCCAGTTCTAGCTTCTGTACAGTATTACCCCAGACATGGGTCATTATTTGGTCATCTTCCCCCAACCTGTCCCTCCTCTCTCTGTAGATGGAGCTATCACTCAATTCCTTCTGCCAGAAAACTTGCAAATCTCCCAAGATTCCTCCTTTCTTCACATCCTTCACATCCAATCAGCCGCTGACTTTTGTGGATTTTAGTTCACAAACCTGCAATCTGTCATTCATTGCATTATTTATTGTGTGCCAGGAATATGCGATGATGAACTCGATGAGACACACTCCTCTACCCCAACTTCAAGGAGGTTACCATCTTAAAGAGGGCATATTGCAAATGAAAAACCCATTCTATGGCAGAGTAGTAAATGCAAAAAAATGGTTAAGCTAGGAGGAAACACTGGAGGGCTATAATTCATCTTGAGAAACCTGGGAGTTTTTCTTTTAGCAATGCCCAAACAGAAAAGTAAAGGCTAGGTCCCAGGACCCTGAAGGAGTAAATAGAAGGGAAGTGCAAATTTCTGGAGACTTGAACAGCCCGGTGTTAATTCTGTAACCACACTACCCCAGTGGCTTTCCACTCCTCAAAAGAAAAAGCTCAACACTGTTCTGTATCTGGAAGTTTGCCCTTTAAGTCTCCTATCTCTTGTCATTTATTCATGCACTTGCACCCACTTGGTGCAAGTACCCAGCTGATAGCCGCCTCGAGGCTACTGTCCAGACTTTAGGGAGTCTTTAATCTATTGGAACAGACAGACCCTGAGGGCGCATTCCAGGAGTGCTGGGAGCTGTGAAGTCCAGCTGGAAGTTGACTCTTAAGATGTTAACGACCCTTTAAGCAAGCACCCATTAGTCTCACTGCGCACTGTTCACCTCGTCACTAGGGGCTCTGGGCCGGCCACCTCCTTGTCCTTCTCCAAGGGAAATAAGCAAGTGTTCTAGTCACTGCCCAGAATGTCCTTCCCCCCTCGCCCAAGGCCACTGCCCGCCTGGAGCCAGCTCCAGCACAGCGTCCTTGTCGCGCGGCCACACTCCTCAGGCGCGCTGCTCGGCCAAGTGGGCTGACGAGAGGCGCGCGCGGCCAGGGAGCTCCCGTGGGCAGACGCTGTCCAGCCTCGCGGCCGCCGGGCGCCCACCCTAGGCCGGCTCTCTCCCTAGGCGCCCCCACGATCCAGCCAGAGAACGCGCACGTGGGCGAAGCCTGGAGGCCGCGGGGACCCTTTCCCATGGGGACGAGCGGAGACGTTCGGCTGGCAGACCTTGCCCAAGGGGTCGCTCTGCCCGGCCGCACCCCTCCGGGGGCCCCGGCCGGGACACGCGGGGTCGCGCCCGGTCGGTAGCGCGCGCTCCCGAAACCTCTGAGGTCCCTGCGGCAGCACGGGGCGGGCGAAGGAGGGGCCGAGGGCGGGGCGGCTGCAGCCTCCGCCACTCCCGGTCCCCCCCGGCCGCAGTGCACCGCCTCCCCGCCCCCGCCCCCGCCCGGCCTTCCCCACGGCGCGCGCTCCGCCCGCCCCGGAGCCTCGCCCTCCGCCACGATGAGCAAATGAGCGCGAGCGAGGGCATGAAATTTAAATTCCACTCAGGGGAGAAAGTGCTGTGCTTCGAGCCTGACCCCACCAAGGCGCGAGTGCTGTACGATGCCAAGGTGCTGCCACGGAGGGACAGGGAGGAGGCGCGGGCCGGGGGACCTGGGGACCGGAGGCGGGGGAGGACCACGGCGCGGAGCGCGGGGACCGGCCGGCCTCCTCGGCCTGCAAGGACCAGTGCGGGCGGCAGGGGGTGCTCGCGAGGCACCGAGCGTGGGAGTGGGCGCGGGGCACGCGGCGCTTCCGCTTCCTCCAGGAGTGCGGGGCCGCGCACGCGCGCTGGGAAACGGCGCACCTCCAGTGTTCTGAGTTCGGAGTAACGGTTTTCTCCCGCGACGCCAACGCCAGCCGCGGGTGAAGCAGGTCTCTTGACTACGGCCTCAGCCATCGTCTTAATATCTCATCTTATGCGGCGCAATGCCACGAGAGTTCCTGTGGGACGCCCTTGCCGTCCGACTCAGGTCCTAATCCATGGTTCTACGGCGGTGGCCGCTGATTTGCGATAGGGTCCCTAGTCTGATTTTGGCTT